ACAAACACAACAGCGGCAAAAGAGTGCGGATTGTGTTGCACTTGGGGTGAGGGGAAAAATTGGAGAAAATGGGAAAAATGGGAAAACGGATATGGCGCTTTAAACTAAAACGGAAATATTTATATTTGTGTAAACCGAATTAAAAGGAAGCAGCAGGTGGACCAGGATAACTTGATGCCGGCCTTGTCAGCTGATAGGGGAAAAGTTGTGAGTACTCGACTTCGTTTCCTTCTATGACAAATTCCGAGAAGCTTAGCAAAATGCATAAATAAATAACAATTTCAATGACATCAAAGACGTAACCCTTGTGTTTTCTGGTGAGAGTCAGGGTGGATTTACATTTGAGGTTCATACTAAACTATCATTCAAGCAGTCAGGTGGTTTTCTCTAGGAAAACTATTTTCGGAAGTGCTTTTATAGAAGACTCATACATTAGTCAATAAATAAGTAATCTATATAATTATGCACAAAGTACTCCTTTAACATGGTAAAAAACTATTGATTTAGTTTTAAAAGAAGTAGTCAGTGTAACTTATGTTTAATTTAAGCTACCTTCCATTAAAATTGTACGCTAATAAATCATCATTGGAAAAATATTTCGCCAAAATCATGAAAAATCAGCTTATTTAGTAAATTTCCAAGGTATGTATTAATTACACGTTTAGTGTTACTAATAAGCCATCTGCAGCCGCATCCTTTAGGGTTTTCTTGCCCAAAATGAATTGCCAGCGCCTGAAGTTGAAGATCCAATTTAATTTGCGGTCCGTTTAAGTGCATCGCTGTCCACTTTCTGACTGCAGTGACCGCCCAAGGGTTAAAGCCAGGCTTTATCCGTCAGAAAGTGTGTCTGTGTGTGGTTGTGGGTGTGTGTGTGTGCGGGTGTGCTGGTGTGTGGGTGTGTGGCCACAACGCTTCAAGCGACAACGTCAAAGGAAAAACCAACTAAACGCACCGCCGGCAATGAAACGGAACGGTACGGAATGGAATGGAAGGGGGGAAGGAAAAGCGCTGGTTTTCCGCGAAAAGAAAAACTATACAAACACACTCACCCAACTATATATCAGCGAAATAACGAAGCAGCGAATCAATAAAAAAATAAGAAACGAGAAATGGAGAGACAGGGAAATGGGAAATGGGAAACCCATGATAGAACGATTGAATGCGGCGCCGTAAAACCTTTTAGTTATATTAATTTCAAATCACACCCCACTCGCGAAAGGCGTGAACCGAAAATGCCGTAAAAGTTTTACGGTTTTCCCGTTGAGAGGGGGTGCTATGTTTCTTCTTTTGTGGCCCAGAGTTTTTTTTTTTTTGGTTTTTTACAACAATTACAGACCTTGAACCTGCCGCATTCGCATCCAATTCGATGGCCAAATTGATCTTGTCGCATAATTCTCAGCAAATTGCCACAGCGATTTGTCTTGTTGCCAATTAGCCGCAGTTTCCTGTCGTCGGGGGCGGTGGAAAATGAGGTGGAAAGTGGGTGGAAAGTGGGTGGAAAGTGGGTGGAAGTGCCATGGCAATGGCGATGCTGCTTGGGGTTCGCAGGCCAATGGCAATTGCCGTTGGCGTTTTTAATTAGAAAATGCGCAGTGTCTGCTCCAACCACCCACTATCCCCGTTCACCATTATCCTTTAACGCCCACCTCAAACACCCTCACCCACCCACACACACACACACGCACACACACATTCAATTCGCCGTGTCTGTCTCTCATTCGGTTTGGCAAGGTGTAAAAACTAATTACATTAAAACTGCCACGAATTCAATTGCATTGCCTGCAATTGCAATGTGCGAGTGCGAATGTGAGTGCGATTGTAGTTGTGTGTGTGCGTGTGCATGTGCATGTGCATGTCCTTGTGTCCGTGTTGCTGTCAGCGTCTATGTGTGAGTGCGAGCGGCAAAATGCGTTGCATACTTTTTTGGCGCTGGCCTTAATCAATGCCGATTGCCTGCCAATTACATGAGCAACAGCATACGACATGCACTCTGATCCACTCACCTCGCTGATCCCTCTCTTTATTATCAATTTCATAGTAATAAATCAGCCTGAGAGTTCAGAAATATATTTAACAAACATTTTTTTATGATCTTCGAAAATAGATGATTTTAAGTCTCTTTAGATTTCGATGTTTATTCATTAATTCTGATAAATCCCAAATGGAACGATTTTATTTAAGAATGATTCAAAATATTCAAAAATAGTTATTTAAGCTAGGATAGTTTTTATAATTAAAGCAGAAATGTAAATAAAAATGTTATTTTTCAATAAAACGAATTTGAGAAATTTATTAATTTGCAGGACTTTATTAGTAGAATTTATAAGTAGCCTTTTGTATAAGAAATACAAGAAATTTTTAAAAAGTACATTCTTTAAAATTAAAATTATATTTATAATTATTTATTTGAGCAAGAGTTTTAAAAATTCAAAGTAGCTGGCATCTTGAATGTGTTTTACTCAATCAGCAGTCCAATCACTTAGTTACATTTTTTTTAAAGTCTTTTTAACCTTTATAAAAACTAACAAATATATTATAATTTTAAAGTGCAATATAATTGGTGTGCGAATGTTTTCAATTCGTAATTAAATTTTGTAAAATTTATCTATTAAATTGTTTTTTTTTTAAATATATAAAATTGAGTTATGATATGCGGAAAATGTCAGAGTATGGCCGGAATCGGATTGGGAAAAGCATTTGTTTTCGCATTGCTATTGTTGGTTGACGCCGTGCTTTGGCTTGCCTGCCTTCGCATTCAATTGCAATGTCAAGTGATTGGCTTTCGCGGGGGGTGGGGGTCATTGTGGGGCTAAGACCGCCAGCCGACAGCCGCCTGCCGATTTTCCGATTTTCCGACTTTCCCAAATTCCCACTACCGCCGACTGCTGACTGACTTTGATTGAAATGCTTTTAATAATGCAGCGAGACATTTGAATTGAATTAGCGGCGAAAGCGGTTTTATGGATTAGCCGATTCGAAACGATTCGAGTGCGTAGCGCTTGGAAAAGTCGGGAAATTACGGTTAAAATGAAAACTGTGTAGGGCCCAGCTTAGCGGCATTAATATGTTATCGCGCCGCATTTAATTCCACAAAGGCTTCGACAAGCTTATAAACACATACATCTATGTATAAGTATGTACATAACTACTAATATTTTATTCCGCTAATTTATGCGCGCTTGTCGAAAGGTTGATTCGCCATTCATGGATTCGCTTTCATTTGTATGCAAATGAGGTGGAAATCTAATTACCGCAAAACAAAGGACCAAATCCGTTGTCTGTCGCGAATCAAGTAAGAAAAACTGTTTATGCCTTGTGTTATGTAAGGCGATTACATTATGTGCCCAGGACCTTCCCACACACCCACACACACACACACATACACACACACACGCACTCATCTTCAGGCAAGACGGCAATTTGTAATGCGCCAATAAGAATTTATATCAACGCCGGCTGCCAAGCAGAAACCAGAACCCAGCCACGACTCCCGACGAAATCCGAGGACTCCTCGTGGTCGGAGGCTCCATCTCCGAGCTCCCTGCTCCCCGCTCCCCTGCTCCTTGCTCCCACCCGCCAGCTTCGTCCTTCGCCACTGATAAGAAACCCGTCCTGGAACAGGACAAACAAAAAAAAACACAAAAAACAGGCAACGCACGTAACGTTTCGCTGATTGCCAGCAGCAAGGACTGCATGGAAAGGAAAAAAAAAGTGGAAAGAAACCATAACCCAAGACAATAACAACAACTTGCACGTGGCTGGCAAGCGTTGTAATTCGCCGGATCGGCGGGATTCGTGGACCCAAAGTCGCGCAGGCGTCGGCAGCGACGCCAGGACCTCGTGTCCTGCCACGAACTCAGGCCACGAGCCGTAGCCGTAGAAGAGTTGGACGTATAAGAGTTGTGGGGCTAGTGGGAACAGTTTTCCTTTGTGTGGGAACAGTTGGCCGCTGCTGTTAAAATTTCTTTGCAAATATATTTATTTATACCTTTTAATTTAAATCATAATTTACACAGTTGAGCTTAATTTTTGGTTGCCAGTTTTACAGAATAGTCAGCCTTTAAGTTGTGCTTTTTGGGACCTTTTGATATTTATGTCCATTCCTTATTATTTTGTTACAGACTTTTCGACTCTTAAAAATTGCTTTAATTGTTATTAAAGTAGATATGGGCTGTGAATATTATTAAAGTCAAATAAAATTGGTAGTAGCGTTACGAAAATTCTTTTTTTCTATGAAAACTTTGAAAAATATTCGTAAAAACTAACAAGGTAATTCGTTAAAAAACTCGACCAGTCAAAACCTTTATTTTGGTTAATTTCCTCATTATATTAAAATAACCTAAATATGGTTTACCAAACGTTTTTTTTAATTACCCGAGGCTCGATAGTTTAGTCCCTTTGATGTGCGTTTTATATTTGCTCACTTATCTCATACAATGTCATTGCAATTGTAAATTCAAACTTGAAAAAAAATGGACAAGATATTTATTTTTTACATTTTATATTCGCCTTTCTAATTTTGCTAAACCAAGAAACTGTTACAAAAATTCCCTTCCCTTAGAAATAAAATGATCTTATACTTATTTATACATTGCTAATAATTCAAAAAATATGTTTAAAAAATCTGCACTGAACATTTAAAAAACCAAGGATATTTTGTTTTACGATATTTTTACTTTGTCATTTGACTGTTCTCAGTTTCAGCAATTTCCCTTCTTTTATAAGAAATATTCGCTGCCTATCGGTCCCAGTATTTCAAATGAAAGCACTTCGTGCGGCGGGCAGTCGTCGTTTTCCCTCGGCTTCGTTCGTCCCTTTTCGTCCTGGCACGAGAATCCTTTCGCTATTGCTGCTGTTGTGCTAGTGTTGCTGCCGTCGCCGCTGCTGTTGCTGTTGCTGCTGTTGCTGCTGCTGCTGCGCGCCTGCCGAGAAGCCCGTTGCATATCCTTTGGCGCTGATGCCACTGACAGCGCCGTTCAGTTTCGATTCGGATTCAGAGACAGACGGACGCGCCCTTTCGTTCCTCCGATTGCAGTTGTTTCGAAAAAGCGCGAAAACTGAAAATTCTCAAAAACAAAAAATAGAGAAAACGCCTCCTACCTTGCAAGCAAGGTATAACAATTTTTTTCGAGTGTGCAGTGTGAAAAGAGCCGGGTCAAAAAAATAGCAAAACGAGAAAACAGAAGACGGAAATGAAGCCAGCAAGTTGTGTGCATATCGGAGAAAGTAACGGAAATTAAAATTTGCATATATGCAGAGGGCGGCGGGCGGCGGTGGGCGTTTAAGCGGTATGCGGTATGCGGTGAGCGGTGAGCGATGAAGATGGAAATTAAGATGAAAGCGAACCCGCAACTGACCGAAGCCAGACTCAAGTGCCAGATCTAACTGCAGACTCGTGCGCAATCCAACCCACCAGCCGAAACTCGAGCGAAAGAAACAGCAAATAAAAGAAAGAAGGCACCATTGCCTCCCAGGAGCAATAGTCAGAGTCCAGATCCGAAAGTCCAGGGCAGAAAGCAGAGAGATGCCGTCGCCAGGACACACATCATTCTGCTGCTCCACGGCAGGATTTATCGCTTGCTCAGCAATCGTTCTGCTCTGCAGTTCCGGTAAGTGAAATATGCCCAACAAAAGGATCCAGGATCCGAGGGGCAAACCCACTTCACTCACTCACTCACCCTTTAACTCACTGCCTCGATTTCTTTTCTGTTGACCAACAAATTTGATTTTGCCTGCTTCTGGTTTATTGTTGACGTTGCATTTTGCAATGGAAACGTCATCGAATGTAAAATGTTTTGCGAGGCAAGTTTAAAAGGATTTTGGCAGTGGCACACACAGACACAGATGCAGTCACAGATACAGTTACAGATACAGATTCAGATACAGATACAGTGACTCCGAGACGAGTATCTCCACCGCAACAAAAACGCACCGACACTTTCCACAAGCAGTGAAAGGATAAAGGACGAGAGTCCTGGACACGGACACAAAGGGCAGTCGGGGAAAACACAGCAAAGGTCTGCAGAAATGGACAAATGTACAAATCTACAAAGGGACGAAAAGACATTGGGACATGTGTGGCAGGATGTTCTCGGACAACTTCAGCTGAGTTAATGCATTTTGTTGCACAAACCCCCCAAAAAAAAAGGGGGAAAACATAAATATATTTGCACAAAAATGTGGAGAAAACAGCTTGGGGCGACCCTTCACCTTCTGCGCCACCCACATGTTGCAATGGGGAAACAAATTAACGCTCAAGTAGCTAAACCAGAAACCTCCGACCTCAACGCGGTTTTCCTTTGTGCTAATCTAATATCTCGTCCAGTTTTAGACTGGTTGGGAAATGTGTCAGTTGCGTAGTTCCTAATGAAACCTAAAAGCATCCCAAGCATTTTCCAAAGAAACATGTCAAAGATCCTGCATTTTAGAATGGATTTTAAAGAAGCTCAAAAAGTATCTTTCTAAAAAGAGGAACTAAAAGAAATTTTATTCAATACCCTTTATACAATCCCACACAAAATGTGTAAAACGGAAGAATAAAATTCTAAAATGTATAGTTTTTTATTTTAGTAATACAATTTCACTGCAACTTAGAACATCTTTAAATAAAAAATTATATTCAATTCACTTAAAAATAAACAGAATGTTATTATAAATACAAAAGAGACTTCCTTTAAAAAACTACAATTGAAGAATTGTTAGTTTAAAAATACAGATTAAATACAGTTTGTGTAAATAGTTAAGTATCAGTATTTCTAAAACAGAGAACATTGTTTAATTATTAGATTTGATTAATACAAATGTCTTAAAAATATACAAAGTCAGTATTTTCTAAAAATGATCATCAACTTAAAATGAATTGTATTCTCAAATTAATAAAAAATCTTCGGAAAACTTGTGAATTTTTTTAGAAAACGTTCATCAAAAACCTTTTATTTGTTAGCAATTCAGCAAGAATTGCGATTAAAGTGGCAGCAAAAATGGAAAGCGAATTAAACAGTTTAACCGAGCACAGACACAGTTCATCAAGCTGATTTAATTTCATGAATTTCGCACTCTTTTTCTACTGTGGCCTGCAGCTTTTGATTGTCGTGTTGCACTGCAGCCTTGCAGTTGATGGCAGCCATATATATTTATGTTTTAATTTTATATTCATAATGTTTTTACACATTGAACAGCGCATTAGTGATAAAAACCGCAGACAGATCGGTTTTTGGTACAGGTCCTTTTTGGAGTCGGTCTGCGTGGTTGGATGATGTCAGGTGGTCTGGAAAAGGGGGATGGGGTTTTTTTTTATAAAAATTGCAGCATAAACAAGTGCAAATAAAAATAGGCGAAACACAAGCAACAACAGTGGCAGTGCGGTCAGACAACAACAACAACTGCAACAGTGGCAACGGCAGCAACTGAAATTGCATAAACTGCAAAGTGCAAAACTGAAAAACGAGTGAGGCGAATGAAAGGCGTGTGAAAAGCGGGGCACTGGCGACAAAACATTGCCAGTCATAAATATGAAAATATTAAACAAAATACACAAAAAACGAACTTCAGATGCCCCCTTCATTGTGAAAATATTGGGTGTGCAAAAGTAAAATTTGTAAAGAGCAGAAAAATTGTATGTGATATGCTTTATGCAACATAAGCTAATTTTAAATATAACAGTTCTGAAAAAAGGATGTTTAAGGATATACCATTAATTTAAACAGATTTTTAGAACATATTTGCCATTGCTTTTAATTTTTAATGCATTATTACTTATCATATTTTGCGTAATGTAAGAAACAATTGTAGCTTCATTTATTTAAGAATTGTGTGTAATTTGTATAAGCTTTTAGTGTCCCTAAAATGTTGAAATAATTTGTAGGTAACTTTCAATGCCATTGGAACTGAAATAAAATATTGAACAGAAACTTTATAATTAAATGCCAATCTTAATTTTCATATAAAATAATTTTAATATTGATTGACTTATCAAAAAAGCAATATTAAAATCTATATATAAAATACCGCAAAAATAGGGATAGAAATAAATAGATAGAAATAAATAGAAAATAAGAAATACAAGAAAATGAAGTGAAATCATTTTTTGCGATTTTACCAATTCAGTCCAGTTTAAATCTAAAAGCCGACTAATCATATGAATGTGGCCAAAACAGTCTGATAATAATCGAAAGGCCTTTCCATGGAAGGCAGGTCATAAAAAATAAGGAAGGGAAGCCCAGGAAAAGCGGGGAAAGGAAAAACGGAAAACATTTTGTGGGGCGTAACAAAAGCGAGCTATATGGCAGAAATGCATGCAGGACAATCAACTCTCGCACACACACACACACACACACACATTCGCACTCGCAGGACACAATAGATGTGAGTGTGTGTGTGTGTGGTTTATGATACCATTTAGCCGGAGGGTTGTTTTGACAAATTGTGCAAATTATTGTGTTAAATTTGCCCTTGAGGTGAAAAATCACTTTGACATGACCAGCCAAGAGGCATCGCTTTTCCTTCTTTTTCATTTTTTTCCCCACCAGCTTTCCCACTTTTCCGCTTTTCCCAGAAGTGCTTAGCTGATTGTGCTTTTGTCTGGCGTATTATAAACGCCAATACATATGTCAGCCGGCGGGCAATACGCCTCGTTTGACCACCGATCTACTTTAAGTGGCTGCCCCAATCTGCTGCAAGTGCTTTCCAACACACAGCTGCGGTCAAGACAATAGCAGCTCTGAATTCTACTTGCTGAATTCGGATACCTTAAAATGAATAAATTTAAAGCAAGAGATTTGTAACTTTCGCAACGGTATTGTGTACGCAAATTAAGAAATATACAATTTCAGCTTTAAATGCTGATGGATTGAAAAAAATTGCCAAAATACTGATATTTTTGATCGAACAATTTTTTTTTTGTCAAATCAGGACAGGACTTTCGAAAAAAAAACACAGCTTTTTAACGTTTTTTTTAGCGTTTCTGTAGCCTTTTTTTTTAGAAAAGCTTAGTGATGTCTTATAGGTTTTCCAGGATTCAGTAGTCGTCGTATCCTTGCATTCACCTTGATTTTTTGACGGTTTTTGCATACAATTCATTATAATGTCAAAAGTGGCTGTTTTTTTCCTTTTTTAACGCGCTTTTTTGCTGTAATTCGTCCAAAATTAGGCACAAAGCTAAAAGAGTAACTGCTTTGTGCAGCTTATGACCTTATCTAACCATCCAAGTAACTACCTTACAACAATTTTTTTCTTCCAATTTTCGCATTTTTCATAAGGGGTAACATCATGTTTTTTTTGCGAATATGGTTCAAAAATAATAATTTCCAGGTTTGAATGCCAATCGATTAAGAATTTAATTACGAGCTCAGAGAGAGATGTCATCCCATTATTTGAGCATTATTTTTACTGTTATGGCCAAAATACTGATATTTTTGGGCGAAATATCAGACATTTTTGGTGAAAACTGCGGACTTTAACTTTTTGGAAACACAATTACTTTTAAGCGTATTTTGTTATTACCAATTCTCATTTATCATTTTGGAAATCCTCAAAATCACTTTACCGCTGATTTTCTTAAATTAATAAGTTCCTTGCCATCTTATTTTAAGCCATTTCAATGTCCGAGAGTTTAACAAATTATGTGGCGCAACTGATGAAAGAGAGTGGCTTCCCTTCGCAGCTATATGCAAAGATTTAAAGTACTTGTCCCTTTTTTAAGGCCAATGCCACTAATTGAGCCAGCTCAGATACCCGTAGATGAAGTTGCCAAGCTGGTAAAAGTTTTCAAAAAACGATTTCGCATGCAGCGTTGACGTGACTCGCATTAGCCCTCGGAAAACTGCACACGTGTGTGTCTGCACTACCCCCGATTTCGGCGGTGACCCCTCACCTTTTGTGGGCCCCAAAACCACCCACTTCGCCTGCCCCACAGGAAAATGTACTGTTGCTTATTATCGAAATTGTATATGCCGAGCAGCGGCGGCCACAACTTCCTCTTGAGCCTTATTCGCCGCTTTTTCTTTTAGCCACTTCGGCGAGGTGGTTTTTTCCTTATTTTTCCAGGGACAGGGGGACAGGGGTGGTGGTGCAGTGGTAGGTAAAAGTTTGTTGGCACCAACAAATTAAGATAGTTGGTTAGTTGCAAGCGGCAAATGTCTAGACGGTTTTTAGCCAAATTATGGTTTTCAAGCGTTGTATTTGCTCGCCCTGCCCTTTCGACCCCCAAATCCTTCCTGAACATGAGCTTTGGCTTACTTTGTTGGCAATTACCTCAATGCACTGGGAGAAAAGCAAACATATACTATCTAAAATAAGCTGCGATTGCTGTATAAAAAGCCAAGAAATTCTTATATGCTTTCTCAAATTGATGTATTAAATTAAATTCTTGACAGAAACCTATTTAAACAAAATAGTACTATTAGATTCATATTAGGTAAGTTTTATAAAAATTGTAAAAAAATGTAAATACTATATCTTTGATATTGGTATAAAATCTTTTTGCTTAAATCATTTCTTATAAAAGACTTTACTTTAGTTTGAGGCCGGTACCCTTTGTGGCTTACTTTTATTTTGGAACGGATCCTTATCCGAATGAAATTGCTTTTCAATCAACGTTTTCGGTAGCATT